ATCGGCAGTAATACCTACATAATTTATCATTATATATACACAATCGGCAGTAATTTATATGACCCAAATGAGTCAAAATCGAGTTCATAAATTTTATTTTTCCTGGACAGACTTCTTCAATGTAATGTTCTATGTGCAGTACCAGATTTTATTTCATATAGACGGGAATGAGTCATGGTATTTCTCAATTAAAATTTTTATTTAAATAAAATTTCTGACTTTCCATTCGTGAGTCTTTTCGTTTTATGAAGCTTTGCAGCACACATTAAATTGAAGTTCATTGACAAGTTACATGAAGGACAATAAATTACCGAGCAGATTTTCTTTTTGTGATATAATGGTATAGTGAATTAAGCCAATGCTCATACATAGGTCGATTTAGTTTCTTATCGCGAAAAGTCTTGCTACGCTCCTGTATATACCGTATAACCCCTGGGTAAATGCCCTCCTGTATTATAATCCCTGCCTCTGACCTATGATTTCTTTTCTCGGCAGAAAGCTAACACAAATAACTCGACTAGCCAAGGAGAACAAGTGCTGGATGCAGAGGAGTTCGTCACTTTCTACCACTCGCTCCTCAAGATGCCCATGGTCGAAAAGCTCTTCGAAAAGTGCGTAAATCTGTGCTTGGTTAACGATTTGAGTTCATTATTAAGTAAGAAGTGTAAGTGCAGGTACAAGTGACGTCCCGAAACACACATGTACGTGGCACAGCTTGTTCTCTTACCACTATGATGCAATTAAGTGTACGTATTTAAGTACCTATTTACTCATAGCTGCGTGTTCCTGACTCATGACGCTATCACTTGCCATACACTGCAGGTACGGTGACGCAAAGAACCACACGATCTTGTTCTCTTACCACTATAATATAACTAAGTGTGCTGTATTTACTCATCGCTGCATGTTCCTGACTCAAGACGCTATTACTTGCCATGCACTGCAGGTACGGTGACGCAAAGAACCACACGATCTTGTTCTCTTACCACTATGATGTAACTAAGTGTGCTGTATTTACTCATAGCTGTTTGTTCCTGACTCAAGACGCTATTACTTGCCATGCACTGCAGGTACGGTGACGCAAAGAACCACACGATCTTGTTCTCTTACCACTATAATGTAACTAAGTGTGCTGTATTTACTCATCGCTGTATGTTCCTGACTCATGACGCCATTTCTTGCTATGCAGCGCATGGACGGGTGAGGCGTGTGGGGAAGGGAGGAGTGAGGCATGTTTGGTTTTCTACGGAAGGTTCATAGTTATCAAATACATTAAAAATAAAATATGCAGGTACGGTGACGAAAAGAACCACACTATGAGCGTGGAGCAGCTGCAGCAGCTGTATCAGGTGGAGCAGGGAGTGCAGCTGCAGGAGGAAGACGCCATCAGACTCGTGCAGAACAGCGAACTTAGCAACGCTAAGACCAATAACTTGCTTACCTACGATGGTATGAAATGCTCGGGAATTGTGGTCATAATTATGCTTAATTTAAAGTTTAGGTTACATTTAAAACTGGCTATTTATTATTAGTTATCACTCAATTTCGACCTTTAAACTGGCTATTTAACTGGCTCATGTAATTTAAATCATCATTTAATTAGAACGGGAATTTATGATTGAACTTATTTAGAATTTTAGATTACATTTAAAACTGGATATTTATTATTAGTTACCATGTAATTTAGTTTATGATTTAATTAGAAAGGGAATTTATGATTGTACTTATTTAGAATTTTAGATTAAATTTAAAACTGGCTATTTATTATTAGTTACCATGTAATTTAGTTTTTCATTTAATTTGACGGGGGTTTGAAAGTTGGGTTGATTAGTTGATTCCTGTGAAGGCAACGCGAAATGAGTAAATTAACGCATCTGGGCCTATACTTTCAAAGAAAGTTAAGAGATCGTAAGTTCATCAGCCAATCATTGACGGCCTTCCAAGCAAAATCCAGCAATCATAGACAAGAAAATAGAGCGTAAGTACTTACGTTCACTTAGCGAGTTTTGAAAGTATGGCCCCTGAACGCTGTTTTTCTTAGGTTTCTACCACCTGTTGTTGTCTGATCACTTCAACATCTACAACTACGAGCATCAGAGCACCGTGCACCAGAGCATGACCGAACCTCTGGCACATTACTACATCTCATCGTCGCACAACACGTCAGTTCTTGTAGCATGCATGCTACTCATGCTATTCATGCTACTCATGATACTCATGCTACTCATGCTACTCATGCTACTCATGCTACCCATGCTACCCATGCTACCCATGCTACCCATGCTACCCGTCGACTTGATAACAAATCCTATGTTATTTTTACCGCAATCACAAAATACTTTTCAATAATACAGTTCCAAATTAATAATGAAGTGTTTATTAAAATAATTAAAATTGACGTCATATATATATATATAGGTCGAAGTTGACCATCGTTATGAATAGTGTATGAGTAGCAAAAAAGACTATAATCTTTGCCTGAGGGCTACATCAGAGCCCTCAAGAAGGGGTGTCGGGTCGTCGAAAGTGAGTACCCGCATCATTACATCTTAAATTTTCAGTAGTAATAGTTTTTTCAGTAATGCTGATTATTGTTTGATGCTTATTTGTTTCGCATCATTACATGTTCTTAAATTTTTCATCGCAATAAATTATTGTTTATAGTAATGCCGATTAATGAAGGGGTGTCGGGTCGTCGAAAGTGAGTACCAGCATCATTACATCTTCTTAAATTTTCCATTGAAATAAATTATTGTTTGTAGTAATGCCGATTAATGAAGGGGTGTCGGGTGGTTGAAAGTGAGTGTCCGCATCATAACATCTTCTTGAATTTTCCATTGAAATAAATTATTGTTTATAGTAATGCCGATTAATGAAGGGGTGTCGGGTGGTAGAAAGTGAGTGTCCGCATCACTAACATCTTCTTAAATTTTCAGTAGTAATTTTCTGTTCAGTAATGCTGATTATTGTTTGATGCTTATTTGTTTCGCATCATTACATGTTCTTAAATTTTCCATTGAAATAAATTATTGTTTATAGTAATGCCGATTAATGAAGGGGTGTCGGGTGGTCGAAAGTGAGTATCCGCATCATTACATCTTTTTAAATTTTCCATTGAAATTGACTATAGTAATGCTGATTAATGTTTGATGCATATTTGTAATGATGTTGTTTGATGTAATATACATTTATTAATGTACATTAATATGGGTATTTGAACATGGATTAAGGTTTAAGCAGTAACTCGTGCGCTGTGAATTCTTTTAGTGAATAACGAATGAATATTTGAATTTTTGACTTTAGTGGACTTATGGTTCTAAGTGAATAACGAACGAATACATGAATTTTTGACTTTAGTGGACTTATGGTTTGACGAACCCGGTGGAAGTCTAGTAGCTACTTCAAACTATCGCCAGTCATGAAAAGATCCGGTCAAATGACACGAGTTTAGATCTATGAACAAGGCA